AATGAAACACTGGAACTACAACAATCCTGTCAAGTCCTCCAATGAAACACTGGAACTACAACAATCCTGTCAAGTCCTCCAATGAAACACTGGAATTACAACAATTCTGTCAAGTCCTCCAATGCAACTCCAGTGAACTTTGTGACACTAGTCTGCTTAAGCTTGCGTTTGGAAGTGGTAGACTAAGGGCATTAGCCAACGTACGAAAAACTGCACAAAACAAATGGAATAATGGTATCATGTTGTTATTTGAAGAAGTGTGATGTCATGGTAACATCGCTACAGTTAAAAAGTAGGGGAAGCAGGTAGAGCAGGAGTACTGGGGAAAATACGGTATTCAATGCTAGTAACTATAACTGAATAATCAGGTCTAAAAAAGGAACATAACCTTCTATATAATGAAATAACGGTTTACTAAATTCTTGATATATATTTTGTTTTAACATGTTCTGTATATACATTTCTAAAAGCTTATAACAGACCAAGACCGGTAATTATCGATTTAATATATAACGGCATGTTGTTTTAACATGTTCTATGTAGTGCCATAGCTTGCTGGGTTCTAAAAGACAAACTGCCACAAAAACAGCTTAGTTAACTCACCCCGGAATCTACCAAGGGCACTAGAGGAATCAAAAGAACAGAGACATTTTATCTTTATATGCAGCTACTTACAAAACATGAGCGCCGATGGAATAATGACAGTAGAGAAACACAGATCGGAACTAAAGTCGAACCTTTGTGTGTTCTCACAAAGAAAAGCCCTAGAGAAATATATAACCTAAAAATTCGGTAGACACGTACGTTCGATAATCCCTGCTGGGCTACGAAATGAATCTCTCTTTGACACACGTGTCAAATTTTGTAGAGAAGGGGAGGCAAAATCTACGAGGGAGGGGGGTTACGCTGCGCTACATGCAAAACTTACAGCTGATCTATAAAGAAACCATCCGCCTCTGGAAGTCTATCTTAGACTTTGTGACAGATGCACGCTTGATAACTGATAGAACTTGAGGTTCGTATAGTCAGATGCAAAAAAAGATACAGTCAGTATCTGGTCACTTACACTATGTTGAACATTCACGTGGTACGTGAATATGACAAAGTCTGTTTCTAGACTGTAATAAACTTTATCTATCTATAGGTTGGTAAGTGGTAATCCTTATAGACATAGAAGGAAATATTTTTCTCAAGAAAAAATCTCTCACATGTAGATCTTTTTCAAATACCAATGAACCATACGATCCAAATATTTTTTTAATAAGTAGGGACGACTGAACCTATCTTTCTGTATGAGTAGGTTTGGCTTTATCAACTGATTCGAAGTTAATGAACCCTTCCAGAGAGAAACACACACACATATATACATACTGAGGGACAGACACACAGAAATACATTATCCTACTCTAATGAGGATTATTGTCACTGAAAACTGACCACAAATTATTATTCTGGTTTCATTTTACATCATATGGTATATCTTAGTCTTCTTCACTTCATACGTTACTCATCAGGTTTACTGTTTTGTATTTCTTAGTCTTCTTCACATCATACGTTACTCATCAGGTTTACTGTTTTGTATTTCTTAGTCTTCTTCACTTCATACGTTACTCATCAGGTTTACTGTTTTGTATTTCTTAGTCTTCTTCACATTATACGTTACTCATCAGGTTTACTGTTTTGTATTTCTTAGTCTTCTTCACATCATACGTTACTCATCAGGTTTACTGTTTTGTATTTCTTAGTCTTCTTCACTTCATACGCTACTCATCGGGTTTTCTGTTTTGTATTTCTTAGTCTTCTTCACTTCATACTTTACTCATCAGGTTTACTGTTTTGTATTTCTTAGTCTTCTTCACTTCATACGTTACTCATCAGGTTTACTGTTTTGTATTTCTTAGTCTTCTTCACTTCATACGTTACTCATCAGGTTTACTGTTTTGTATTTCTTAGTCTTCTTCACATCATACGTTACTCATCGGGTTTACTGTTTTGTATTTCTTAGTCTTCTTCACT